CAATCACCATATCCAATCGAGTAACAGTATAAGCTTGATAAAAGGCATGCTATTTAACACCTTTTTATCTGCACTCTCCCACCCCCATTCTGAAAATGCCTTACTTTAGCTTTCACTAGCCGGTACAAGTCCATTTATCACTGTTCTGGGCTCTCCTCATGTCCTTGCGAAAGGGGCATTGGATTCTGTTCCTAAACGATAGTAAATGCTTTAATGTGTGATAGATTCTAGCGGGATAAACTCTTCATTCCTTTTACTGGCCCGTCACATCCTATGCTTGGTATTTCATTATAAAACAACACATCATTATTTTTTATCTTTTATTATTTCCATATTTTGAGAAAGCTCACACCTCGTTCTCTGCGTGCTTAGTTGTACGTACAAACTTCCTACAAAAACTGGGGAGGAAAAGCAAGATATCACAGTGCCTGTATTGTCAAAAATCTGTGACAACTATAAAATCACTTAACTACCAGGCACATTTTTCAGTGGAGAAAATACATGAATACAAAGAACAAAGGAAAACCACCACAGAAGTTATAGCTGCAATAACAGCAGTTTTTGTCACCTCTGAAATGTTTTAAAAGGCATCCAAAGCATTCACAAAGGTCAGTTCCCTAGACTGTTTGCTAAACAAGCTGAAATGTTGGGCCCTAAAAGAAATATGCATTAAAAATGCCATTTGTTTGATAGTACTTTTGGAGGAGCTACAGCTGTCGTTACTAACTACCATGCTGATGTCTGAGCATCTGTAGGAGGAGTGAGAACACTGGAAGCCAAATTCTAGACAGTTACGGAAGTGCTGATGTTATGGACTGGACAGGTGCTGTCCAGAAAGCCATTAGAAAATCTAGGGTTTCACAGCTTTGATTAGATGTTACTGTCCACAACAAAAGAAATACTCAAATACTGGAACTGTGGCTGCCTGTACTTCCCCCTGTAACATGACAGTTGGAATTACTCTTCGGGGTGTGCCTATGGGAGCAACCCTTGGTGCTTAGATCCCCTGATCATAATCTTCTAATATAACTCAAAAATAAAGCCACTGTTTGCTAGCTGTACGGAAAGGGATACTGCCTCTGGTACTGATGTGCCAGACATAATATGAGGCTTTTAAGTTGAATTCTGGATGAGCAGCATGTTTCATATAGGCAGACCTAGCAAAGGTCTGATGCCGTATGCTGTTGCAACCAGGCAGAACTATGTAGAAAATCAAGAATTGCCAACTTTGAGTCTTAATCAGGCATGACAATTCATATAAAGTCAAGCTTTCATTCATTGGAAACAAATTAATATTTGGAGATCGGGGCTGCAAGGCTTTTTGAGACAGAAAATTCTGATTAGAGAATTTAAATGTACCATACTCTTTAAGCTAATTGCTTTAATTTTAGGATCTGCTCCTGAAAGCAAATGCTAACCGGTTCAGGTGTGCAACCATGAAGTCTGAAATGGAAGAGGTATGCTACAAAATACTTTATTACCTAAAAATCCCCCTGTATGAAGAGGAAAAATGACTGGGGTATTTAAAGATACCTCAAAGTATTTTAAAATTCTTGTTTATTTGGGGTTAGGAATTATGTGCTGTCATTTATAGCTGTACTGTCATTTCACATCTGTGTTACTGTTTTCAGGTGTGACATACTAACATTTGCCTCTTAGGATGCACAACACACAACTCCCTTTTCTTATACCTTGGTGCTGCTTTATTATTCTTCTAATTTTAAGGCAAGCAGCCTTCCTGTGATATTACTCCAATAAGTCTCCAAACTGACAATATTTCTCTAAACCCACATATTATTTTGCCATTAACTTGTATGCCACAGAGCAGCCAAGCTGAGGGAATATGGTCCCATTCATACACAATTCTTGCTTTGGCTGATTCCCAGTTTACAACTGTGTCACCAAACTATGTATGTAATATATTTTTTTTTCAGCATCTCATCTGTATATTCTATTCACTGTGTTCATCCTCATGGTCCCAGTCCCTTGCACTGGTATCTACTGGTATCAGTATCTATAGCTAACACCAGAAAATGAAATTAATAGCCATCACTAGAATTCTACCCCTATTTAATAATTTCATGGTGTGCTTTGACAACGTACTTTGTCTTCCCAATATCTATTTCAGTTAAGAGCTGAGTATACTCATTTATATAGGTAATATTTCATAGTCAAAACATCACTGTTATTTTTTAGCATTATTTTAGTCAATAATTTTTAGTCATATTTGGACCACCATATATTTTCATATGAAATATTCCCACCAAGTTGTGTGCACATAGCAAGTTCTTGTGGCTATAACAATCCCAAAATATATCCCCTATCACTGTATTGGTTACTCTAGATGAACATTCTAGAGTGATTTCTGGCAAATATGTAACAATTTTTGCTGAGTACTTGAAAATCTGTCTCTGAAATGAAATAATGTGGGTTTGGTTTGAACTGCAGAACACACGTGACAGTACAAAGGGTAAACCAGCATTCCAGGCTCAAAAGATCCAAAGCAAGGTGAGTAACCTTCAAGGTACTGTTGTCAGACGTACTTGAAAACTGTGGAGTGAAAAACAGACATGCAAATTCCGTGGTGAGGCAAACTACTGGAATCCATGTTTTTACACCAAGTTCCGTGGCCAGGAGAATGGGATGGATTGAGTCTATGGCTCCTAAATTTTGGCCTATGCACCTTTAACAATCCACAAAGAAATGGTCAGGGAGCAACAGGAGTGTGTCTGCTCCAGGAGGGAAAGGAGCCGAAGGTAATGAAAGTACGGACAGTGCCCTCACCACGCAGGCTACAGTATCTGAAAGCAGCAAGGTTGGTGGTAGTGATGGGTCCTGCTGACAGCAAGTCATCCTTGGACAAAGCAAGGCAACGAGTCAGGTGTGAGGTCCACCCAGGAAGTCCAGGCAGGAGACAAGGCTACAACAGCAACCCAGGTCCTGACAGCAGGAGGCAGAACTGGAGAGACAACCAGGAGCAGAATTACCTCCAGCATAACGGGGAAGGACTGAAGCCCTATCTGAGCTTAAGTGGGGCTCCTGGACCACTGAGCAGGGAGTGTGAGTGGAGGTCCTAGGTGAGGCAGGTCAGGGCAATTGAGACCTGTTAGTTCCCTGAGGGCCCTGACAGCTGTGTGCAGTTGCACAATATAACCATATTGCCTTCTCAGTATTTTCAGTTCCAAAAGGAGTTGGTTTTATGTAAAATGGTAAAGGTTGAGAATAGTCCACAGGTAAAAAAAGAACTGTGAACCCTGGTTTACGAATTCAGCACAGGGAGAGATGAATCTTGTGTCTGTAAATCAGTTTCAAAATGAGATCCTAAAGAATGCTGAGCAATCATTCCAGCTAATGACTGTCTGAGACACAATATACAGTCTGCATGTTTGTCCTGTTTCCTTTAGACACATACTGACATAAAATCCACTATACTGATTGCTTCTCTGCTAGGATTTCCAAGGGTCAGAGAACTATAAACATGGAAAATGGGCTGTTCAGCCTTAACGGTCTAACACATGAAAACTCACATTGCTATTTCTGCAATAACTATCCAAATAATCTTCAGTTACATCATTAAATCTGCCACCTTTCATTTGTTTCACCTTCGTATCCTGAATAATTAATGTGGGAGCAGTGCTTGTATCATGACCTCAAATATCTTGTGAGCAGGTCTACCTACTCTTTAAAACTATGTATTTAGGTACAGCTCATACACACTTAGGAAAGACTGATTCCCTGCTTGGGGAACTGGGTGTCTGGCAACTATTTCTAAAGCATATCTGGTATTTATCACATACTAAAGTTATCTTTAATAACGCTATCACCAACTCAATCTGCTTGCTTACAATCCAGCAGCATTTAAATTACAGAAAAGTAGTAAGGTCCCGGTTCCTTCTGCACTCAAAAGAAGAAAAAAAAACCCAAACAAGGAAGATTCACATAGTTAACCCAAACATACATGACCTGTAATTATGGGGGCTCAGTTCAAGACTATGTATATTCCACATCCTTTTCTGTTAATTTGAAATACTGAAACCTTAGTGCAGACTAATGAGAGTCAAACCATCTCCCTAACCTGCATAAAGAAAAATAGGGATCTGGCATCTTACGGCATTGATCAGGGCCACTTCTAACACCTGCTACTGTCTCCCCTAGGAGCACAATCAGTTTTATCTCGTCTAAACACATTTGCCTTGGAGGTTGGTTAGGTGATGTTCAAGATGCCGCTATAACTTTCAAGCTGAGATAGGCATATTGTTATTGACTTTTGAGATGCTTTCTATTCCTTTTGCCTTCCTGCCTGCACAACTCTCTGAGTAGAAAAATCCTAAGAGGAAGGTTTATCCAAGATGTATAAATAAGTTTATAATCTGTCCTCAAATTAATGAAACTATATTATATTTTAACCAACTAGTATTTTCCTTTCCTCTTTTTAGAACACCCACAGTGAGAGCTTTTCACTTCAGGCACATTTAATATGTGCAGCAGCAATTATTTCTCATAGCTGATACAAAATATCTGTTTGTCCTTTTCACTGGAAGAATGAGACAGTACAAATGCATCATCATTCTCAGTCTGCCTCTTGCTCATATCAGGCCTTGCTCTTTACATATTTATTGGTTTCTATGAGCTATTGTGTGTTCATTAGGTGGAAATAGTGAATATATTTTTTTTCCACAAGAATTACAGTGTTCTCTTTTCTCATCTTGAAAAAAGGTAAGATATCTCACGACAGAAGGAGAACAAGTAAAATTCACAAATTCTTTGATACCACATGAAATAGAAGAATTTATTCAGTTACTTTACTTATACCTGTCTGCATTTATCTTGGGAGACCTAGTTAGTTTGACTATATGGTCAGTCATACTTCTGTTTAATATGGGAAACTGCAGTCAAAGGTATTTCCATAATCATTCTTAGTTCAGTTCTCAGTCCAAACAGTAGTTAGATAGTACAGAACATGAAATCTGTATACACAGGTAATTGCCAAAAATATGAAAATTTCTACATGTGTCAGAGAAAATGTCTACTCTAAGTAGACATTTCTATACATCGCGTAGTGTGTAAAATACCGGCTGTGGAGGACGTGTTCTTATAATGCAGAAGACTGAGAGGAGTTGAGAAGTAGGCCAAAACCAAGGAAGGACATCATTAGACATTAAGAAGAGTAGGTGTAGTGAGTCAAGCAAAAGAAATAAAATACATCGTTTTCTTTACCTAAATTCTTCAAGTTATCACCATTTTGTCAAGAAACAGGCAATTAATTTCTGTCCATTAAAATGTGCCATCTGTGTGGAAAACACAGTAATTCTACTTAGTGAATTTCTAGGTGATAGCATGTGTTTGTTCCCCTCAGCCTACCTAATTAATATCAATTATAAAACATTCTTGTTCCAGTTAGCTTACGTATTTCAGGAGACTGCAGTACATATTTGTGCATACAATATTTGCAGTATAGCTTGGGTGATTCTGTGCATCTGTTTCTCAGCCACTCATTAAGCTGTTGATTTGGAATTAAAATACATGTTTGGATTCTGAACACAAATTTGTCTCGATTTAGGTCAAATGTGTGATTTTTTTAGGAATGGTTCTGGTTCTTATCCCACCAGCATTGCTTTGCCTCAGTTCAGATCAGGTCTATTATTTGTGTCTGCAAAGGTAATATATTTTTTCTGAATAACCTACTTGTGCAGAGAACATTTTTAACTGGCAGAGAGGTTGTTCCCTTCCCCTCTTGGCATTTAGAGCTTCTCTGGGAATTAGTCCTAAGGCAATACTTTGAAGAACTGCAAGGCAGGCACAGGATCTAGTCCAAGTTACACCATGAGAACTGAAAGTCACTGAGAACTTACTTCTCTTCTGCTGTCTAGAAAAGGGATATGGCAATTGGTGATGCCAGCTGTCATAGAAATATTTTGAAGTTAAAATAGTAATTATTTGTAAAACACTTCTGAGAACTTCCTATGAAAGGTACTGCTTAAGTTTTTTACTTTAATGGTTTTGGCTAACTTACCATGCTTCAGAGAAGCGGTTTATTTTCTTTGTCCAAAGCAGATGGAATCCCTGCACACGATGTGTATGGGCACTGAAAAAAATGAAAGGAAGAGAACACTTTCTATGGGATTTGACATGGTCCAAGAGTGATTACAAATTTATAATCCACTTGAGGAACTTTGCTGATTTCTTAAGCAGCTTGAGTGGTTTATGAACAGCATGCAATTTCATTGTGAATGTCAGATTAATGCTAGTTGAATGCTTTAAGCAATATTTATACTGTCTTAGGTCAATTTATTTAACCCATTGAAATGTTTTTATACTCTGTTTTATGGTTTACGTTACTAACTATAGTATCTACATTCCCTTTCCTGACAGATTGACAATATACCTATTAAATTAAATGCTGCAGCTATTTTAAGAGAGGGTGCCCTCTATCAGCGGAAAACAGAACAGGAGCTCAAGAGGTACGATCAGGCTTCTTTTTCTGATTACTTTTCACATCCCTGGACATAGAACAATTAAGTGCATTAAAAATAATTATGTAAACGCCAGGTAAACTATAATAATGGATCTGTTGTAAGGCCTTAGGAAGCTATTCTGTGAACACGGTTGACAAAGATAAAAGTGGACTGAAATTAAAGTTCACGTTATAGTCATTGTTGTACTGTAGGAGCCATAGAGTGTGACTGTGTTCTGAGGTAGCACTCTGGCTAGTGTCAACTTGTAAAGTCCGATACGCATCACTTGCTGTATTTATTTCGATTCTCCAGAGTAAATAATGACCCAAATAAACATCTATTTCTATGTCCATTATAAAAGTTGCATATGTATTAAGCCAAATACTTTTGTATAACTCCCTTTTCTTCAGTGGTTTGTGGTCAACGACATGCCAAGTTTGATACTTGAACTTGTTTAAATGTTTATAAAACTCGTTTGTATGCATATAAAAATACCTGTCCATTTCTATCACAGTAAGGTATGGAGGACTAAGAGTGTGCTGCTCCACAAGGCAAGAAAAGCCAGGAGCTGAGGGTGGCAGCAAGGCATGTAGGGACAATGTCCTCACTGACAGCAGTTCCATAGTACCCTGGCAAGGCAGCAGCACAGATCCAGTGACAGACAGCAAGGTCAGCCAACAGTCCAGTGATTCCTCGATGAGTCCATAGTGACGAGTCAGGGCCAAGGTCAAGCCAGGAAGTCAAGTCAAGGACAGCAAGGTACTGGGCTGGATGCAGGCATACCTACAGCGTAGCTTAGGCAAGGACAAAGGCTGTTTAACATCAGCTTAAATGCAGCTCCCAGGAAGAAACTCTACAGACACAACAGGACTTCTCATAACTCCTCCTCACGCAGTTCTTTTCCCTTCAGTTTGATCCAATGTTACGCAGCTGCAGTGTAGCAGAGCTGTCTTTGAACACAAGCAACTAAACTCTGGGCAGGAGTGGGGAGTAAGAGGTTGCAAGGCCTTTTGGTGGACTTAGGGCTCAACGGAATCCTGACAGGATTCCTCTCACATGAGGAATCCTTATTCAGCAGCATAGGCTTTCAGCTGACATTAGCTGGAGAGAGGGTGACTCCTGAATGGCCACTGCAGAGTGTGTATTTGCACTAATAGTTTTAACAAAGGTAACACCTGTATCATGCCTTCTTGATTTAGTATTATTTCTAATCCACCTGACTTAGCAGGCTAAGCACTAAATATTGTTAGCATTTTAAGTCCCAGAATGACTGCCTAAGGTTGGATTTGGTCTTTGGACTTCGCAAATTTTGGTATATGGATCAGGATTTTAGCAATATTACCCATCACTCAGATTCTGTTATCAGCTATGTGTGTATAATGAGGTCCTTTATATAACATATGATACTTTTCACTCTAGCTTGCAGAACTTTGTAGCACTCAGTAAAGGAATAGATTTTCCCTGTGATTTAACACTGGTTTATGTTGAGTTTTAATCTTCAGCTGCATTTAACACACATCAGATACATATATATATGCACTGGGGAGCAGGAGCATGGCACAGTTCACTGCGTTTTTGTGCCTGCCCTAATTCTTGGCTCATTCAATCCTCTGCTGCAGGACTTTGATGGGCTTTGCTATGCTTTTCTCTCTCAGCCAAGCGCAAAAAATAAGAATGTGGTTTTGCTTAATAGCTGCATACTTCTTTGCCTTATTACAGCAATATTCTTTAATTGACAAAATTGACAAAATACAAAACAGAAATAGAATTAAGCAGAAAAGTTTTTAGTTCTCTGTGTTAAAGTGGCCAAGAAGATTGCCAAAGAGAAAAGTTGTGTGTTCTTTCTACCTCTGAGCAAAGTAATATTCTGAGAAAAATGTACATACCTTCAGCCTGATTCTCCTTGCTCCTCATGAGAATCCATATGTAGCTAATGTTTGCGCTCTCTTGGGGCTTTGTTTTACTGAAACTTGTAGGTCCATGCCCTCATGCACTTCCTCCAGCCTGGTTTTCTCAGGCTTTCTACATAGCTGGAACACCTCTTAGACTGGAGTTAAAATTATACCCGTCAAGTGACTTTGCAATGACTGCCTTTTTCTCTGCAGAGATCAAACACCTCATATCACAACAAACTACTAGACATGTTTCATGCACCAAGGCAGGGCTGCAGAGTCAGATCCCTAGAACAGTGAACTCTTTCTTCTCTCTTGCAGAATTGAAAATCTGCTACGAGGGGCTGGAGATCCATCTGAATTCTTGGAATGGCAAAAACAGATGCGTGGAAAAGATTTAGAAGAGCAGCTGGCTGACATAGAGTGTAGGAGGCTTCAAGGGAAACTGAGTCATGAAGAGGCAATTCTAGCCCATCAGAATGTAATTCAAGAAAATAAGAAGAAAGCTGATCTAATGAGAGAAGAGGTAATACATACAGCTTTGCTCGAATTTTTCTTACCTTCAACCAGTGCAAAACATACCACAGATGATACCAACTATTGGAAGGTGTAAAATTTCTATACAGTGTCTTTACTCACTGGCGTCTTCAAACAATGGAAAAACAGGACTATAACTTCCAGACACAGCAATGCTTGTTACAGGTGTTTGATGTGATTGATGACACTTAAAAAGTGAATTGAATAAACCAGAAGGCTAAAGCATTCTCCCCTATATTCATATCATTGTGCATATCCTGTTTTAAACAGATACTGAGCTACTAAGCACCATTTGCAATGAAATCACCAATATATGACTGATTTCATTATCTTGTAAAATGAGAGCCACAAATATGAAATAATTAGTTTTCTTAAACTGATATAATTCAATTTACTTCGTATTATCTGGCATGCTTAGATCTCTCTTAGGGGAAAATTCTGTCAGAGAACCCTCTTTGGGTCTGTATATATGGGAAACAATATTTATGCCAAGAAGCATTTTCACACTGTTTCCGATACGGTAAATCACAATTTCACAAAAACATTGCTAGAAGTTTTCATTTTTTCCCAAACACACATTACATTTTTCTAGTGCTTTTCCTATAAACTAAACAAGTGATCAAGAAATAATTAATATTACAGATCTTAAAGTTTTCATAGTCACTGTCACAGGCTTTCCTATTATCCCAGTTTGCTGCTATGCCCTGTAGGCCAGCCAGTACTTTTCTCTTGGCCACCTCTCACAGGTGTCTCTGCAGCATCTCGGCAACTTAAGATGGAACCACAAATGTATAAGATTTTCCTAAAGACCACGCTGCAAAATGGAAACTTAACGGGTTCCTTCTCTGTCCTTTAAATAATATCTCAACCTTTTTTTGACATTGACTCTTCATGTCTGTTTAGACAAGGTGTAGCAAGAACTTAAAGCCAACCCTACTATGTACAACTGAGCAAAGTGTGATTACTCACATTCATTCCAAAATTACTGTAATTATTGTATTCACCTCCCTTTCAGAGCATAAGTGTTTTATTTTTTAACAGAAATGTCCCAATATGTATAGATTTGGGGATGTGCAAGTCAGTCTTGCTCTAACCTGACCAATCCCAGGCAACTTCCTTCACTTGCCAACAGATGCCAGGAGGGCACTTCATCCATATGGAGATCTCAAGAAGTACGCACCAACAGCTGTCATGCTGACTACCCTCCTTCTTTTAAAACTCTAGTCTTCCCTCTCAAACAGAAAGTACAGTAAGGAATCTAGTCTGGGAAAGTCCAGTTCCCTGCTTCCTGTTCATTTCCTCTGACAAAGAAAGGATCATGATAGCCAAAAGTGGACTTTCTGTATGTCACAGAGATATGACTTAGGCCCAAGAAGATCCTGCAGGTATATAGCCAGCTGTGTATTAGATTGGCACTCTTCTTGGTATCTCCCAGCCAGATCCAGAGATGGTTTTGTCTGCTTTTAGAAACATGTGGGAGGGAATCCGGGAAAACGGCAATGCAAATGTTTTGGATGGCTGTTGTGGGTAAATAAAACATAGAAAGAGGAGCTTAAGTCTGCGTCTTTAGACCCCAGATTTGTTGTCCCCAGCCCATGTCCTTTGCTAATTTTGTGAATGATGTAATACTTTGAATCCATTTGTCCTTGCACTATTTCAATGATTTGAGGCACTCAGATCACCAGTTATCAAGAATTTTATTTACCTGTTTGTTTGGGATTTAGAAAGCAGAGCTGATGCACCAGTATGCAGAGAAACGTCTACAGGAACAGAAAGAAACGAGAGAACTGGTGGAGCAGGTTGTGGAAGGACACAAGAATGCAAAGCAAGCAAAAATAAAGCTCCAGAAGTACAAACAGCAGATAGGTATTTGTATATTGCCAGAAAAATGAGAGGTGTTGCCAAATGTTCCCACATTACTTTATCTTCCTTTTAGAGGGCCAATTACAGTTTTTACAGAAAGGAAAGGGAAGTTGAAGGACATTCCCATGAATGCATGAAGATGACATGCAGGAATAAGTTGGTAATGATCAGGAGTTCTAAGCTAGTGGTCATGGGAATTACTCTTTGTTTAAAAGGGAGAAATACAGCACTAATGTTCTGCAAGTTGTTTCCCTGCCATCTAAAAGTAACATATGTGAATGACTGTACTTTTTATCAAGTTATGAAGCTCAGATTCTCGTGATTCATATCATTAAGAGAGGATTTGCCTAGCAACCACCGTGAAAGAAACATGGCTCAAGATTATTGTCTTCTCCAGAGAAGGCAGTCCAAAGGAAAAGACTGCATCTAAGGAATGAAAAGCCATCTCATAGAAGGACGGTATCACAAAAGAGGAGGATGCAGCACCTCTGAGACAGACCAGCTGTTAGGACGAAGGGAAATAATCATCCTCCATTATTCTTAAAGAAAATTCTTCAGTTAATGCATTAGCTAACCAAGTCCAGGGAGAAGGCTATTCTGTCCGGCACAGCTGTACATATTACAATGCAATGCCATGTTAACATCTACTGTATGAACAGGCTACCTGTAGTTGTGCATATTTTGGTGAGCAGGCTTCTATCTGCTTGTGTACCTCCATACTTGTGTCAGCAGGGGTTGAGGCAGGCTGAGGGTGTTAGCCACTCTGAAATGGCCTAGCAAAGCCTACCAGCCTCTGCAATTCCATGATTTCTATCATATATATAGCTTGAAAAGCAATGAATAATTGCTGTTGTATAATATCCTTTTATTAAATAATGAAAGAGTATGCGCTAATTGGAACAGGAATTACATAGCAGTAATTCAAAGTGTCTACTTTATGTATGTATACAGTATGTTTATGTGTTGAATAGAATGATAGAGAGTGGAGGTGGGAAGTACTCATTTGTTTCTCTAATCATTCCTCCCACCAATGCCAGACTGTTCCCTCAAGTACCTTTAGATCAGCATTATTATTGTTATTCACAAATGCATATGAACTTGCCTCCAGATGGACTACTTGTTAAAATATGCCACCAGTTAACAGAGATTTGTTCTTTTCTTCCAGTTCAGGAAGTTTGTGAAGAAAATCGAGAACTTCTTCGGCAAGCTTTAGAAGAAGAGGAGGAGAAGCTTAGGAAAAGATACGAACTAATTCAACAAATACGAGCTATTGAGTCTTTACCAAGCCTCAGACACAAGATTGTTGATTTAACTGAGGTAAGCTCAAAAGGAAGAGCTCCTGGTTTTACATAAATGTATACAGTATGTTTCACACATTCAGAGCAATTGTGGGCTGTATGCGGGTACATCGCAGTCTGGATGTACAGTATTAAGTACCGTGACCCCACAGCACAAAGCTTATATGCGAACTGGAACTTTCACAAAGTTCAAAAAATGAAAGTTTTACCGGGAAGAATATTCTGATGGTAAGTGAAATCTAGGTTCCCTTAAACTTCCTTTGAATTCTGCCAATAGGGTCTGGGTTTCCCAATATCTTCCAAAAAGAGACTGGCAAGTGTTTACATGTTCTATCCATCTGCACAAATTCACAGAGTCGTCAGTGCTGGGTAAGGACTGAATGAACACAAAGCTTGGACTGATGTACAGTGGTGATTGTCATGGTAATTAGCTAAATTAATTTCCTGTGCTTTCAAAACTGTCAACATTCAGATACATGGAAGGGATTATTAAGAGAACTGCTGTTACACATGCACTGCGCAAGTAACTTGTGTGTGTGGGCAAGTCTACACTAAATGTATCCCAAACTGCTTGGACTTACTCTTGGTGCACAGTAACTGAGGTTGTCTGAGATTGGGCTTTGCAATGCCCACTTTCACAGAATTTCCAGACTTAGACAGCATGCAAAAATCTGTTATCTTGCCACTAAATCAGAAACAGAATAGCTGAAAATACTCTTCCATTTTTTTTCTCCACACTAAAAGATGAATAACAGAATAACGTAACATTGCACTATCCATTTTAAATATAATCCTTTTGGTTTTTTCTTTCTTTTCATGACTGTTCAAATGAGGATCACAAAGTAAAAACATCTAAGGCTAGTCTGCAAAAAACATACAGAAGGAACAGGTCTCCCTTCCATGGGGCTGCTGGAACAGTCAATATGATGCTTTGGTTTTATCTCCTGCTCCTCTGAGGAGAACTGAGCCAGTCATTGATTCCAAAGCTAGCTACTATCTTTGCAACCACCAGATAAATCCCTCACCTCATTTATAAGATTTTAAAACACATTTAATCTTGAAGTATTAAAGAAGTTAACAAGAATAAATTCAGCTCCATAGACATCCCATCCTCCTTTACTCTCTTGGGTTGCCTTTATGGCTGCTGCCATCATTTACCCACTTCTTTTCCAGACAAAAAGGCAGTTCTCTTTCTTTAAACCCAGACTCACTTCTTCCATCTGTGAATAAATACTACACAAAGGAAAAAGCAGGGAAAAAAGTGAGGCATACAAAGAATTATTGTACACTGCAGTTACTGTAAACTGTCTGCATGGAAATGCCAAGAGGTACTCCAATCTATAGGTCTTTTACTGCTTCAGATGGAGTTGCACATGGTGTCAACCCCAAACAGAGCCCTTAGCATGGTCTTACTGCATATTTGTTACCCAGCTGATCCAGTCACAAGATGTAGGCTGCAGAAATACAACAGTATGATGTAGTCAAATGTGGAAATGTCATTACTTCTTCAGTCACAGCAACTCCTGTAAAACAGTGAAGGCTCTCATTCAGGAAAATGAGGGTGACTGGAATGTCAGTACTTCTTATTTTTGATCCTAGTTCATTTTATTGCCACTTACAGTGTCTGTTGACCCCTCACATTGAGCTTCCATTGAAATACTGTTTGTTTTGAAGTACAAAATATGGCTTTAAATATTTTTTCCCATCTAGCTCATCTCCAAGGACAAAGCAGAAAAACACAGCACATTTCAAGTCATGAAAAATTCATTCAAAATTCAAGCTTATCCTATGTGTAAGGTTACTAAAGTGTAAGGTTGCTGAAAATGGATTGGCCATACAAGAGCATGTACCTGAATGATAAGGATGGACCGTTAGAGGGATAAGGAATTGGCCGCATCCAAAGAGTTACAATCAATGTCTCAATGTCCAAGTGGAAACCAGTAATGAGTGGTATCACTCAAGGGTCTGTACTGGGACCAACATTTAATATCTTCCCTAACGATATAGATAGTGGGATTAAGTGCACACTCAGCAGGTTTGCAGATGACACCAAGCTGGGTGGTGCAGTTGATACACTTGAGGAAAGGGACCTTGACAGGCCGGAGGAGCAGGGCCATGTGAACCTCATGAAGTTCAGCAAGGCCAGGTGCAAGGTCCTGCACATTGGTTGGGGCAATCCCCTGTCTCAATACAGGCTGGAGGATGAATTGATTTAGACTAGCCTTGTGGAGAAGGACGTGGGGACTTTGGTAGATGAAAAATTTTGTATGAGGTGGCAATGTGCACTTGCAGCCCAGAAAGCCCACCATATCCAGAGCTGCATCAAGAGAACCGTGGCCAGCAGGTCCAGGAAGGTGATTCTGCTCTTCTGCTCTGCTCTGGTGAGACCCCACCTGCAGTTCTGCATCCAGCTCTGGGGTCCCTAGCATAAGCACATGGACGTGTTGGAGCAAGGCCAGAGGAGGCCACGCAGATGCTCAGAGGGCTGGAGCACCTCTGCTATGGGGACAGGCTGAGAGAGTTGGGCTTGTTCAGCCTGGAGAAGAGAAGGCTCTGGGTAGGACTTATTGTGGCCTTTCACTAAATAAAGGGGCTTATAAGAAAGATGGAGAGAGATGTTTTACCAAGGCCTGTAGTGACAGGACAAGGGGCAGTGGTTTTAAACTGAAAGCAGGAAGATTTAGGTTGGATATCAGGAAGAAGTTCTTCATGGAGAGGGTGGTGAGGCACTGGAACAGGTTGCCCAGAGAAGCTGTGGATGCCCCATCCCTGGAAGTGTTCAAGGCCAGGCTGGATGAGGCTCTGAGCAACCTGGTCTAGCGGAAGGTGTCCCTGCCCATGGCAGGGGCGTTGGGACTAGATGGTCTTGAATGTCCTTTCCAATCTAAACCATTCTATGATGCTATGATACTGTATTTCAACTTCACAGTTCACTTATACTCACTATTACAATAACACTCTGAGTGAATTAGCACACTTCTGGTGATAGCTTACCCTGTTTTTCTTTCTACAAAAGGCTTTTTCAGGCTTAGTGAAATTAAGTAGGTGATCATAAAATTCTCATTCATTCTCATAATTTTTTAAGCACCCAGTTCTTCCCTTGATGGCACTGATGTTGCTTTGAACACCATCATTATCTACTGCACAAGTATAGGACTTTCCATAGTTTACGAACCACTTCACTGAATATTATTGAAATGCAGATAATCAAAATATTCAGCCTCTACCATTCCATGTTTCTATGAAATCCTTTTTCCTAGACCTTTTCAGTGTCTGCTTGCCATGCTCAAACACTACCACTGGTATATATCCCTTGTTGCAAAACATTTTCCTTTCACTTCCTGTGAATACAACTTGATTGTCATTGACTAGTTAAAATTATAGGCAAGGTATTACAGCACTTGCTATTCGCAAATTCACTCTAAATCTGAGAAGGAGATAAATGCTCATTTACTGTTTCAGTAATCTATGGTAGTACATAGTTTTCAAAAAAGACGAAAAATAAAGACTGCTTAATATTGAACTCATCAATCTTGTACTGATGCTACTGATGACCATTGTTTAAGTCGTGTTTGGTACAAATGCAGAGCATGGAAGCAGAAAACACTGAGCCAAAATTGAAGAGTCAGGCTTTAGATGAAAAAACAATGATGATATCTTCTTACTGACTCAGTTTTTGAACATTTAGAAAGAGAAGCTATTGGGACTGAAACTGCAGGGGAGACTCTTGGAAATCTTGGAGGAGTCTCCAGGGATGGCCACCCAAGACACGTTCTCCTTCACTGACAAGCTTGTGTTATTAGATTCACCAGAAGGAGTCAATAATAATTCCTCTTAAGCACTCATGTTTTAGCAGCAGAGAGCAAAGCCTAGTTATTTGTTGTACTCTGTTTTGCGAGTTTATTGCCCCTGCCCCCCAGCCTTACTGTTTTCTTCATCTCTTGTGGCTTTCTTCCTATTTCATGGACCCACTGCTCTGAACAGGCAGAGAAGAGTCACTGCAGGACAAATACCTGACTAGAATGCTTAGATGGCATCCCAGACCAGAGAAGAGGGACTGGACCCAGGTCAATTCTTGCAGCCAAACTGACAATCTGAGCATCTATCTAGGACAGAGCATCTGTCTCTTTTCCTGGTTTTGGGCTGTTGGTTTGTTGGGGTTTTTTTCCTTCCCCTACATGTTCTGTTTTGCAAAAAGCTAAACAGCAGAAAGGCGACTACTATTCTGTCAACAACTCGCTCAGTATTCAATACAAGGGCTATTTTTTTCCTACTAAAAAGGATTGCTTGAAAAATTAAGGCTCTTTAACTGAATAATTTCTGTCCTTTAAAAGGGTTTTAATGAGTTTTACTTACATATGTTTATCATTACCACTCAATTTCAATCGTTCTTTTGGATTCCACACCACCCCCACCCCCCATCCCTAGTTCTAAGGAACTAAGCAGAGCAAGGTCTTTGTGATTAATATCCTAAGCAGTGTTTCACTCTGGACGTTATACTGTTGTATAGCGAGAGTCAGGTTGGCATCTTGACTTCCTGCACCCATATATTCCGTTTTAACGTGCCATATGCATCTTTGGTACATACCAAAGTTGCATACCAAAACTGTGTTAAGATAGACAGAGGAATATTGGTTGGTATGAAATGGATTTAATTTTGCAAAGAAAGCAACACAGCAGCTCAGTGTTTGTGTGGGTTTGTGCCAGTGTTCCATATATACAGATGTATATATGTGTAGGCATCGGGAAAGGAAGAGTGTATGTAAGAGCAAAGGCCGAAAACTTCAGGTGTTCACAAACCTGTTTAGAAATGATCTGTCTCTGTATGAAAACTAAGGTGCAGAAGTCTCTCATTGCATCTCAGAATCAGGCTCATTATCACTCTCATTGCAAAGCAGATTTTTAAAAGCCCTCATTAAACATTCAGATTTGAATATTTTATCTTTGGGCATTAAGATCTGAATTTCCTGGGTACAAAGCATTGTTCAATCCTAGTCTTTTCAGATGAAAATAGTAGATGCCTTCATAGATGAAATCCATAATTTGGAAACAGATAAATACAAAGAATGCATATTTTTTTTTAGTGTACAGTCTGTTCTGCTTTTACATAATAAGCAGGTTTACACATTTAAAAACAGCAAAAGTCTTATTAAAACTAAAAGATAAGTCAACTAGGGGTTTTTTTGACAGTAAATGTGTTGTATTTATGGTTAACCTACTGTATATTAAAATTCTTTTTCACAAAATATGTTATGAGCCTTGTGTTTGTTACACCTACAAAACGTAAGCTGTACACCTTAAAACCAGCTTGCAGGTAACAGCTAGGTTAGGGTCAACCCTGTCTTCCTTGAAATCAGAATATATTCAGCATGATTTGGAACACAATCAAAATATTCTGGTTATACTCATCTACTCTCCTCTTGGTATTTACAGTGTTATTTAAATGTATATTTCATGTTCTCTAGACTGGTGGCCATGGCTTAATTTGTGAAATGTCAATAGTGGAACTACGTGAACGCCTCGCTCTACTCAAAGAAGCACAGAAGGCTGCAGAGGAAGAGAAGAGAGACCAGATAATTCATGAAAAACAAGCTAAGGAACAGCTTCTTCTAGACAAACTGGACCAGATTTCCCTGTTCAGAGCAGAACTTGGACGAGCAGCTGCTTTAAAGTCAGTATCAAACAGCATGTGACATTTTAAGAGACTGCAACTTTGTTAATATTTTGCTAGCCCCTTGAGGAGAAAAACAAGCAGAGAGCAAAATACTGCCCTTTTTATAAAACAGAATGGCTTTTGTCAAGGATTACAGTGGGGCAAGAATTTCCTTTTTACTGAAAATAATTTGCATTGGATTTAACAAATCTTTTTCATCATTTTGAATTTACGGTTGAAGACACTCCGTAGGCTAGTGTTGACAGTATTGCTCCAGGATTCAGAGCCAGTGTTACATATTGGGGAAGAAGTTCTGCCTTTCTTCTGTTCCTTTTCAGCTAATCAGAACTAATTGGATTTTATTAAAGTCATTCTAGCTTGCTACTTAAAGTGGTTTCTCATTTTCATCTAAACAAATAAATTAGGGCTATAGTTTCCTTCCTCAAACTTCATTTGTTACGTGAAAAGGCAGGCCTTATTTGAGAAGTGAAAAATATCTTAGGAAGGAGATTTTCTGATAACAATAAGAAGTTATAAATTAAATATAGCAGTAGATCAAAGAAAAAAATCTTTGCTTACAGACTCTCTGATCAGATTTTGTATTCATTATTCATATTTATTATTCATTATCATATTTATTATTCATTGTCATAAAGGATCCATAACCATCATGGTTGTTTCACATATGCACAAGACAAGTCCCTCCACAGAGAGTTTAAAATCTAAGTTATTTACAAAGCTGGGCAGGAGCCTGCGTAAAAGTGTAAAATACAGCAGACCTCTTGACCTTGTGCCATTTTTACTGCCATCTTGACTATTTGCCATTGTTTTCTTGCAAGTTGCCTTTCACCTTTTCCCTTTTGTGTTTGAGAGGTTAGTCCTTGTCTTGCCTTACTTATTTTGCAAACAGATGTTCAGGCTGACATTTTGAAGACATATTCTACCAGGCTAAAAAGACATGTCTTTAGAGATATCTTAGATGTGTGTTTATTGCTGAGGTACCGAAGGTGGCTTCTTAGAGTTTAATTCATGTTATTGATTTATCACCCAGCTCTCAATCTCGATTACAGAAGGCAGCACTGATGTATTCATTTAACTAGTTTTCACTAGTTCCGGCTCTCATTTGGTGTGTTGATGATAGTTAATCTCCAGAGACTGGGGTTTTACTATGTTAGTACTTAAGAAGATAGTTTAATGAATTTAATGGTCAACAACTCTAGCTGCAGTGGATTGACTGCATGGATCAGTGACCCTCATATATCAAACCATTTGGCAACTATCAAAAAAAGATTTTAGGACTAAAGAATCTGAAATAGTGCCAGAGCTGGAAATACACTCTCAGCACTAAACATTCACCATTGTGAAAGCCTCTGCGAGCAATTCAAGCCACCGCTTTCCACTGAAGATGCAAAGTAGGCATTAAGAACGTGTATACTACATAAAACACATTTCACTAGTGACTACTTGACAAATCAGTCATTATGCTAGATGTACTAGCATACACCTGTGAATTTTGTGTAGGGCTGGGTTTCTTTAAAATAGACTCTGGTTTAATTCAGATCTAAAACTGTTCAGATCCTGGAATAAGCTATGCTTGAATGAGAAGCTAACTTGGATTCACTTTTTGTCCTGACATTTGCAATGTTTTTTAGAAGAGACCAGCATACCAAGGATGTTAGAATCCAAACAAAATTAAACACCTCATTTGCAAGCTTCTAGTCAGACTCATGATAAAGTAATATAGTAATTTTAATGGAGTTTAATTTTAATTCTGTTTGTTCTCCAAATACAGAAAAGAAAAAGTTTCATTGTAGATATTACAAGACATTCCTTTTCATGGCTCCCAGGCAATCTATGTACATAACTTGGGAGCATATTCTATAAAGAGGCATCATCAAAGAGCACCAGAAAAGTTGTTCTTTGGGAGTGTATGTAATGCACTTTTATCTAGAAGGCAAATTTATGGTGTTATTTCTGTTAATACAGAGGTACAGCATGCTGGCCTATTTACAAATTCTAGCCACTTTGCTGCAGCTTTTATTTCTCTCTAAACAGCCAGCTTTGTGTGTTAAACCTGGTTTACAGATCTTGAATCCTGGAATATCTATCAAGTCAATGTGAGTGATTAATTGCTTGGATGGTATTACTGATACACTGCACAGGAGATGTAAAAAGCCAATTTTTATGTTTACAGAATTAATTCATAATTATAGGGGTAGAATAGCAAATCTTACCAATAATCTTCATAAGATAGCCTTATGCATAATACAAAATTACATGTCGTATCTTAAATTGCGTTGTGATGACAGCTACAGCTAATCAGCTAAAGCATGGTGTCTAAGCTTTGCTAAACACATGTGCTTTAGTTAGTGTCAGCTGGAGTTTAACTGCGTCCCTACCAAGGAGGCTCCTTTCAACATCATTTACAAACAGACATACATCAACACAAAAGAAGCATGCTGAGCAAGCATATAATGAGCTATATTAAACGAAATAGGAATAGGAACATGAAAAATTACAGAGACATCAGCCTTTAACAGCCTGCAAGCCGTGACATCCATCGCAACAGTGGCTCTGTGAGTGCTTGCAGACATTTAAGAATCAACTCAGTATACATGCAGGACGTCCCTTTAATTGCTAGGATGTCACACAGCTTGAAAATCAGCACTGGCATACGAAGCTGACAAACATTTGAGTTCTCAGCTTTTGAACATGAGCACCAGAAGACTTATGAGTGTTTTGAATACATGCTAATGTACTAGAGTTCTGTGCCTGCATACCTCAGGTACAATTCCCTTTCATTCCAGTGAGGCCACATCTATTACTCCCAGTAATTCAGTGCACTAAGAATCAGGCAACAGATGAAACCATTTGGTGGTGAGGCTCCCTCCATCCACATTGTATGCGGTTTTGGGGAGTGTACTTTGGGCTGGATTTAGCCTGGACGTGGAACTGCCTGTTCTCACCACTCGTGCTGTTTAAAGCTGTCCAGAAGAAAGTTATCTCACAAAACTTTGCATTCTCTATTCCTCACTCCTCTGCAAAGCCCATCTAGTGAACACCCCACCATCATTTTGTGTCTCTCACAGAGATGGCAGTAGCACATCCATGTCCCCACCAGCCACTGCCACGTATCAAAGGTACAGCGAAGCCAGCCTTGTTTCTGGTTTTGCTCATGTTCTTGCCTTGTTTGTTTCCCTGCTCATTTTCGAGTGACAGGGCAGTGCCTGCTGCCCAAGCCTCCTCCCCTCTAGAAGCCTCTCCAACATCCAGATGGAGGGAGCAGCTGCTGTTCCAGGGTGACACTCTGAACTGACGCTTATCCTCCCTGACTTCCTTGTATGTGAGGAGGAAGAATCAGACAGTTGTTAGGAGGAACAAGATGCACAGACTCCCACCACACACAAGTTGAGCGCATCCCCATCACACGCTGTGGTGACGCTGTAGCACGCTGGGGTCTCGGCACTGGGTTACAAACGATGGTGCGCTTGCCAGGGTGGCAAAGCACTTCCTTCTCTTCCTGCCACTGCCAGTGCTCAAACCCCTCCTTGACACGGAGCGCTGGCCACACAGAGTGTGACACCTCTCTCTTGTCCTGAACAGCTGGGGGGGTGGCAGTAGCGTGAGGGCAGCCATGGCAGGACGAGGGGGAAGGCTGGCTGTGAGGAGGGAGAGGAGAGCAAGCAGAAGGGAGGGTTATGGATGGATGAGACTGACAGTCCTTTGCAAGTAGAACAAGCTCCCTGAAGCAAGTGTTCCCCGGAGTGTCCAGGTCTGACTTGCAGGGTCAAAAGCCTTCTGGGTGAGAGGGGAGAATGGAGCCCCATCCTCAAAAACCTGTAACACACCCTGGCAGCACAACCCTGTGATGCAGGACACAACCAGGAGGAGGGGCAGACAGCACATGGAGGTGGAAAGCTGTAACAGAGGAGCATGTGCCATACTATCCCTATGGATGGCTGTTGCTTCAAATCCTTGAAAACATGGCCTAGAACCACGGAAAAAAAAAAAAAAAGCTGAATAATTAGTAATATAAGGGACTTGGGTACTTCATAATATCTGGGATGTCATTAAGTTCACACATCTCATAGAGTTCTGTATGTGTTTGCAGTAAGGAAGTTAGATTTAGTCTCTCAGTCCCTAGTGCTGGAAATGAGTTCTTCACTAGCACTGAAAAAGAAGGAGGAAATTTATCAGCAATGATGGAGCAGAAATGTCAATATGTGAAGAGAGGCTGCTAAGAAGACAGAGCTGGGCTCTTCTCAGTGGTGACCAGTGGCAGGACAAGAGGTACTGGAGGAAAACAAACACAGCAGGTTCCCTCTGAGCATCAGAAAACACTTTCCCCTGTGAGGGTGACTGAGCACTGGCACAGGTTGCCCAGGGAGGTTGTGCAGTCTCCATCCTTGGAGATAAAAGCCGTCAGGAAGCAGGCCCTGGGGAACCAGCTCTAGGTGGCTCTGCTTGAGCGGGGGGGTTGAACCAGATGATCCTAGAGGTCCCTCCCAGCCTCAACCATTCTGTGATCCCTTGAATGAACTTTGGTTATACAGCTTCATAATCCTTATTTCCGATGAGGAAAACACTGTTACGAATAACAGTCGCTTCCACACCTAAATTTAGGTGCTTAATAAGTGAATTGTTTTGGAAGGGAGGCAGATTTTGAGTGCTTAAATCCCTCACATTAGTACAAAATAGCAATAAATAGTGTAGTGTTCTTAAAAAGTTCTTAAATGTCAAAATGATGACTCCCTTACCAGAGAATTGTTAACAGTTAGATATATTCATCTTCCTCAGGGCAATAACTGAGAATTATATAGTGCAGGACAGATAAAAGGCGAGGTAGTGTGAAGTACAGACAACCCTAGTCACGGAGACGGAGAGTATGAGGAAATGTTTTCATTTCCATTCCAGACTCCATTTTGTAAGGTGAGGTTATAAATACAGTCTTAGCTGCTTCAGTTGGCATTTTAGTGTCTAGAGTGGTCAAGGAGACATTCTTACAAGTATTGAGTCAGTGAGAGCTGTCATACATCTACCTCCTTATCCTTTTGATGCACAGGTGGAGTTTGTAAATGAAGAGAAAAACGTGGTTTTCGGAAGGAATCCTCTGTCCAAATCTTCAGATTCCCCATTTTTTAAACACAGCTGAGATGACCTAATCCAACTGTTCCAGGTGTTCCCGCTTCTCACAGGAAAACCTGTAATGCTGAATCGCTGCTGCTTCATTTACAGGCCAGATGACCTACCGGACCTAGAGTCCATTTAGCCAGGTTCTAAAATTGCAGGGCAGATAGGGAAATAATTACAAGGGATACATAAATAAGAAGACACTGGACTGCCAAACTCTATGACAACATTGTAAAATGTGAAGTAAAAGCTACTTACGTATTTTTAAAATTCATTATGTTCACTAAGAAAATCATGAGACGGCAAATATGGGGATGTCAACTGCAGTTTACAGTTTGTGATGCCTGGAACATTGTTTTAAGTAGAAAGACACATTTTATCCATCACTGTTGGAACTGTTCTGTACTTCACCATGGTGAGCCAAAATCTTTCTGCTGCAGACTGTACACATAGCTTACACAAAAGTGAATAGAGAACAAAATCAGCAATAGATATAGAAATTTTCCTTGTTTTCTTTCATTTACATATTCTGTTGACTCTTTCATTAGTCCCTTACTTCTCCTCCTTTGAGTAGTTTATACATACACCCTACACTGCTACAAACTTCCTTAAGCACATTCAAGAATCTCATCTCATTCTTTAACACTAAAAGGTACTTTCTGACCAGGTCACTAAGCAAAAACTAGAATTTGTTAAACTATTTTAAATACATATGGACTTCAAAAATACTGCAATTTTTTTCAAAGTCTTTGGTAGGGGAATATTTTTTAAATTATGGCAGATTCACTAAGGGATGGAAGACTCTTGTCTGAGACCAAATGAAAAGAAAATGAACAAATTCTCTTTTAGACCAAGATTTGACATTACATTTTAGGAACTAGTATGATTCTTAAAGATTGGTTTTCATTCAAGGTGCTCATTCAATACCAGTAGCTGGTAAATAAATTTAAAAGTAAAGTTAAAATTATTTCTGCATTATTTTTTTCCCATAAATTATCACATAATTTTATACTGAATCTGGAGAGGATTTTTCTAACTATGTACTATATCATTCTGACTGGCTGTTACCTCACTTCCTTAGGAAATACAGGACATGAGGTGACATGGATCGTATCAGCTTTTTCTGTCTTGAGTCCTGAAAGTTCCCAACTGACCGTCACAGAAAAACAGAATTTTAATATTTCCTTTTTCAATCCTTCCCCTCTTTGAGTTTCTGTTACAATGTAGTGTGGCACCTGAAAATCTATGGGATTGGCAGCTTTTTGGAATACTGTAGATGACTGGCACATTACTTCATGTAGAAGAGGACTGAATATTAGTCTGAGGATAAGCAACTATTTACAGTGTTAATTCAGAAGCAGCTGCTGCTGCTTCGTGATGTTAAAGCTCTTGCTGTATTTCCTGTAATTGTATTTACAAGAAGCTGGATTTGCATGTAATGAAAGGTTTTGTTGCTTATTCCCACTGACAATGTTTAATCACCAAGTGTTTACATAAAACCTTGTTGTTATATTCTCCTATATCCCTTGGAATGCAGTGCCTTGTTGCAAAGCAAATAGACATAATCCATGTTCTCAATTAGATTAAATGATTGTACATAATTTTTAGATTTACAGAATTGTGTTAAAAATTAATCTCAGTGTAGCAGAGTATGTCACACTATTCAGGAGGATAAGGAAGTGTTATCCTAGCCAGATAGCATGGCACAAACAGCAGGAAGTGTCTCAGGAAAGCCACTGGAAATGAGAAGCCAAGCTAAACTGTGCTCCTTATTTAGAGTGCACAGTCACATTTCAAAATTTTACACAGGTCAAATCCTCCCTTCATCCAGTTCCTGAAGATTTTGGGAACTATAGTCCAGAATGACTGATCTGAAGCACACCTGCTATTACGGGGAGTTTTCTATTAGCAAAGGTGAAGCTAACAGGGCAGACTAAAGCCATCTCTCCCAAGATGAAAGAAGTGTTTGGAACCCCAGAATCGTGACACAGACACTTCTTAAGGCAAATAGGTGGTTTTAGCATCAGACGGAACTTGTTCCCCTTCCTCCAGCTCCTTGAGAAGGGTGGAAGCACACTGTGGAATAAGAACCAGGAGATAAGGGAAGAGTTCTGTTGTAAAACATTTCCAAGGGTCAACCCATCTGTGGGATTAGTCCTGCTGCTGACAGAGTAAGAGCCTCAGGATCAGCTCAGCAATGCCCTGGAGCACTCTGCTCTTGGTCTTAACCTGCTTTCCAATAAAAGCAATCGTACTGTCCTGCCACTGCAGTATAAAAGTGCCTTTTACACACCTATCCTTGCCAGATGAGGGAGGCATCAGATCTAACCTCATTATATATGATATAATTATGTATATTCTTTGATAGATCATAAACTCACAAAATGGTTCGGGTTGGAAGGGACCTTAAAGACCATCTACTTCCAACCCCCCTGCCATGGGCAGGGACACCTTCCACTAGACCAGGTTGCTCAAAGCCTCATCCAGCCTGGCCTTGAACACTTCCAGGGAGGGGGCATCCACAGCTTCTCTGGGCAACCTGTTCCAGTGCCTCACCACCCTCTCCGGGAAGAATTTCTTCCTAATCTGACACACACAATAGAAAGGGAAAAAAGGGAAGACTATCCAATAGCCTTTCTCTTATACCTCACTTTTATGCTGCACGTGGGACCCACTAATGTTAATTAATACATCACCATCCCATAGGTTCTGAATCTGGGCATTGAGCTTACACAGAAAAGAATATCTTTCGTTTGCCAGGGAATAAAGTAATCGAGAGGAATACTCATGATCATATAAGGAAAACTCCATAGTCCTCACAAGCAAAATGCTCCAGTATTATCACAGCTTTTGCACGTGCTTTTGCTGAAAAATGTCATGTCAGGCTTGAAATACTTGAGATATTGTCATCAGGGCAGCCTGTGGGACAAAATTATTCTATACTGCTGCCCTGTAAACAACACGAAGCAAGTGGTGAATGCCATATTCATTGAGCTATATGATTTAAACCTGTTTTGAGTCTAGTTGGTTCCCAGAAGCAAGAGAAAATTCGTTATTATCAAGATAATAAATGCTCAGATGGGTTTACTCTGGGGGTTGATATTATTTTACCTGCTCATTGCTTCTTTTGCTTTTGCAGGCAAGAAGAAAAGAAAAGAAAGGCCCAGTGTGGTGAAAAGCCTATGAAAGATGAACGCATTTTAAACCTGCAGAAAAAGATTGTAGAAAAAACAATGGAGCGTAAAAAGCAAGCAGGAGTCTTAAAGATCACCCCCCCAAAAACCAGCAGCGCGCCAAGGAAGGTCTGGGACTTACATAAGGAGAAGAGCTCTGCAATAGACCTGCTGTTCACAGGCCTTTGCTCAACTGCCAGCACTGGCAGGGGGCAGAGGCAGATGGTGCCATGCATGGCTGGCAGCAGCAATGCCCTGCTTCCTGTGTAGGCACGGTTTTCCCAAACCATGGCCTTGTCCTCACCTTCTTGTCACACATTCTGCTACCACAGAGCAGGGCTCATCCATACGGCAGCTAGCTTCCCACTCATCACCACACGCTCTCATCCCGTCGAAACAGCATCTTACTCCCGTCTAACTCTTGCCTTCTCAGTCTCCTCTCATGAACAGCCCATGACACCAAGCTGGGATGATCACCCCCCCTCTCACCCGAGGCATGTTCCAGTTTACTATTCCCATGGTTTCTACTACACCTTTCAGCAGCCTGGTCCCATGACATCGGACGGAAGCACCAGTAGGCCTGTAGGCTTTATGCTGGTTCACGCTGGTTGTGTTTCCTTGGCAAGTGGCGAGGAACTGCTGCTCCTGCTGCTGCCGCCTCTGCCATTGCCTCATGTGTGCTTAACATTAGGGGGGGTTCATCCACCAGCGATAATACATGTACCGCAGCATATGGAATGCTGCTGGGAACAGTCATGATGGGATCACTTTTTAAAAGCTGTACTAGCCCGATGTAAAATTAAACTAAACCTCCCAGTCTGTTAAAGTAACGATAATTCTTTATCCATTTTGTGAGAAAGTTATATGAAGGTGAATTCAGTGAAGATGAAAACTGTATTTTTCAAGTGTGTATAGTTTAAAGAACAAAATAGTGCAATCTTTCAGAGTATCAGTGTTTCTTGGGTTCAGAATCCCCATTTCAGGCAAGCAAAACATGGCTTTCCGAACTGAGGTTCTGAACACATCTTAAACACTGCTGAGTGGAGTCCAGAGTAAAGCAGAAGCAAGGGACACAGACTTCAAAGGAAAGCAGCCATGTAACTACAAACAGGAGACATTTTAAAAGTAAACAAAGAGAAATTATATATTCACAGCTAGAACTTTTGACTGCCTGACATGAGACTCTCTGAGTGCCCTGCTTGTCATATGCATGAGCAGAAAAGCTAGGGTTTGCAAGTTGTCTTGAAGTTAGATTTGGTCGTTTTTCTTGAGCTTAGCTTTATATATTCAAGGTTACTATAAATTATTTAGCTGGTTTGGTGTACATTCCATCAGCACTGTTCAGCTCTGCACGACCCTCCCCGAATGTTACTAGAAGAAAGCGGCTCAATTCTGGCCAGATACATTCAGCAGCGTCCTCACTGCAGTTGGTCTGCGTATTTCTGGTGTTAGTGTGACCGTAGGAGAAAATTCCTCCTGTAGTTACAACGCAATAACTGTCTGGCATTGTTTGTACTGCAACCTTTTAGGTTCCTCAGTCAGTTGAAAAAAGTGACACTAGCTCCTTGAATTAAAGTTCCAGATTGTGGCTTCAGTTACATTTGTGACGGCCTTTGGGCCCGATGAGTTTGTGCTGATATAAGTCAAGGGAACATTGATTTATAAATCATTATTACATTCTTAATAAAGCAGAATTTATGTTGCAGTTTGGAAAACTAAGCATAAGAAAAACTACCATTAATGAAAAAAATATTTTTCTCCCATTTTAAGCAAAGAATCAGATGAAAAAGTAGCAATTTTCTGCTTCCTCTGAGCTTTTTTGGGAATGCTCCCTTGTGAACACAGCTTTTGAATCAGCAAACCAACAGAGTCTGATAGGATTTGTGCAACTGCTCATTTATAGCTTCAGGAGAGAGCTATTGGCAAAGAAAGAACATAAGGTAGCAGCAATGGAGCTGACCATCCAAGTTTTATCTTGACTTAACATTTTGTGGAGTGGTGCAGCTGTGTTTAATTCATCCTCAACCGGGCAACCCAATCACGTTACCTTTCTATTCATCACGCCCAGTGTGACGCTGACAAGTTTCCCAATCGTGTTAGCAAATGAGCTGTTGTTGCCAGATCATCAAACAGCAGTTCAGTGTGTCCTCTGAAGAGAACCGCTACAGCCTCTGCAGCCTGATCATCTGTGTGTCTTTTCTGCAGGATTCTTTGCAATGGAGACATTGGAAAGAACTGGAAGAGAGTCGGGAACGACAGTTCAAGGTCCTCCAACGTGGCTTCATGGCCAGAGAAACAGCTCAGAAAATGGCCACCACAGAGGCAGCAAGAAGTGGAGCCACGGTCTGTATATTGCGCTCTGGAGTAAAATAAAATACATTTGGAACAAATTCAGGCCTGCTGGAAATTTCTCAGTGTGCCACTTCACTACAAGGTTGCATTTTAATCTTTATTTCACCTTTATAGCATGATTAGAAAAATTTGGGTCATAGAGGCACAATAGAATAAAAATGCGTCAATTTTTGTAATAGAATTTTATTTTTAAGGTATAATAGTATAATTTTTATCTGTTAGAATGAAAAGCTTTAAGAAATTGAAACCTTACCATTGGAGCTCCTACAGCACAATGGCAAATATCTGGGTAAGAATGTTGAGATCTGTATTTCTGTTATCATTGTACACTGTGTCATGGTTTGCTGTGCTTATCTTCCAAATAAAAATGAGGGCAAAAACCAAGCAACGTATGTTTACATATGTATTTTTTCAGAAGGCATGGTCAGCCCAAGTTCCTAATGCATCTTCTACTGTGTGTAGCAGGATCACCAGTTTCAACACCGGTTTTAGGGGATGAGGGGGCAACTGTTGAGAAGGTTCAGATGATGTGATAGTCTCCAGGAGTCAGTCTAGATTCAGTGACCCAGACAGACCATCCCTCTATTTGCAGATGTGTATCTCTTCAGTCTTTAAACAGAGTAAGAAGAACACAGAACCATAGAATCAAAATTGTTTGGGTTGGAAGGGACCTTGGAGATGATCTAGTTCCAACCCCCCTGCCATGGGCAGGGACACCTTCCACTAGACCAGGTTGCTCAAAGCCACATCCAGCCTGGCCTTGAACACTTCCAGGGATGGGGCATCCACAGCTTCTCTGGGCAACCTGTGCCAGTGCCTCACCACCCTCTCCATGAAGAACTTCTTCCTGACATAACATCACTAAATCTCTTTGAGAGCTGCTTCCAGAAAAAGTCTAAATTCTGTTACTCACCTAGAAAATAATTCGCCCTCTATGCCAATTTCTATGCTGTGTAAAACAGCCTTTAAATCACAGGACTTATTCTAGGCACAAAGCCAAGGAGGATATAAATCTGAATTAAAATCTGCACAGCAGTAAAACTACGTAATGTATTTCTATTTTAACTCAATGCCAGTTATTAAGTGTTTAATTATGGCTATTGCAAATATTTAAATTGAAGGAGACTGTCGCTGACATCAGAGTCAGGCAGCTGCTTTTAATGGTCTCACAACATTACATTTCTCGCTTTTTACTGAAGGAAACCTAATGGAATTCTTTTGTTGCCACCTAGCTGTGAAGCTCACTTCCACAAGTTGATAAAATGTACTTTTTTTTTCATTCAAAGTAGGTGCTACAGTAGTCCACAAAAGTAATGTAAAAAAAAAATCATCATTAAGCAAATAGGCAGGTATATTTTGGTAGATCACACAGAAATTTCCAAAGCCTGCCATACTGCGTGCTTCTTTCCCTGTGATGCTTGGCCCGGTTTTCAAAATTGTTACTGAATTGCAACCAATCTCATCCGTAACGACTTCCTTCTCCGTATTCTTCATGCTCTCAAATGAAAGGACTGAGGAATAGAGGAATCTCAATAATACATCTGTGGAATTTTTACCTCCAGAAGTCACAAATAGCCCTATTGTTACTTTAGGATCTGATGCATAAAGTTGTCTTCAGAATCAATGTTGTGAGGAACGTAAAAGAATATGAGTCTTTTGGGAAAAATATCAATATATCCCTATATTTTTCTATCCATATAGCCTATTGATTTTTCAGCAATGGCAGGCCTTGCAACAGAATACATAGAAAAGCATAAAAATACCACTTTCCTCCTGACAAATGTGAATTACTTGATGTTGGAGGCAGCAGACCCTATCCAGACCACTGGATCACCTTCTCTAATATTCCTGTTCCAGAAAACCTGGGCAAACCCAGAAACCTGAGGTGATCCAACACAGAGCCGGCGAAGGTCTGGTAGGACCCGTTAGCGTTACATTACAAAAGCAGCTGTGGTGCCATCGGAGCCAGGTGAGCTTTGCAGCAGCACAGCTGCAGTCACACTGCTGCCTCAGCTAGTGCCTGTGGCACAGACCATCCACAGCCTCGTTAACCCTCTCATGGGTAATTGAGAGCCAGCAATGCCCCCCCACCCATCACGCTCCACAGAAGCACAGGTGCATGTATTCATGGTTTGTTCGTTTACACCCTTGTAACACTATTTCCAGCCACGAAGAGAAGGGTAAGTGAACACGGCTGACCCTTAAATCATCTAACAGCACAGATTTTCAAAATCAGAGGTTTCACCTGTCTGATCTTTGCAACAGACTCATTAAGAAACTCTTTTAGTGCCGAAAGCTGCACATTCTGGATGTTTCTTATGTCAGTGTAAATGGCCAAACCACAAAAGCCGTCACAGGCAACTACAGTGTGAGGAGGCCCCGGTTAACCTGAGGAGGACTGAGGGGTTTCAGCCCCGCGCTGAGCATCGCACACAGGGTGCTCACACCTCGCGTTACACCGTCGCTGCTGGCTGGCAGTTGGCTTCCTCTTCCCAATCAGCCCCATAAGGAGGCAAAGCCCACGCTCAGTGGCTCCATAGCCAGGTAATCCCACCTGCCCTAGAGATTTTATGACTTAAATGAAGCCAAAAACACAGAGATGGTTACGACAGAATGGCAAGCAAAAAAACACCCACCTAGCACGAGTCTCAAGCTCTGTTCACCCAGGGGGAGAGAAGGCAAGAAAAGTCCTTTGAAAAAGCCATAGGTTCATCAACAGACAGCCCACAGGACGGGCAGGGGGAAACAAAGGTACAGCAAGGCCAGATGATCCTGGCATTAAGGCAAAGCAGTTGGGAAAACCCGTTCTGAGGGGCGGGGTGAGGGCACCGAAACCCCCCTGCCAGTGTTTAGAATGGATTACAGAGAGCATCTGGGCTGATTATGGCAAAGGCAACAGGTGAACAATCTCCCAAGCT